CACCAGGTGAGAGTTGAAATCAAGTAGACCGGCCAACGCGTCTGTTCACACTCCCACGTCCAACTGCTCTAGAAGGCGCCGCTATTCGTTTCTCTGATTCTGGAAGGGTCCAGCATGAGCACTACCCCATTAACAGTATCTCGTGCGCATTCTTGCCTACTTCAGGGAGCCAACAGACGGCATCCATACCAGTAGCATGGGATAATAGAGAATGCTTTCCCCCTAAAGCATCTTGAAATGACTCTTCCACGTCTGCCCATGATTTAGATTTTTCAAACAGAGAACGATTTCAAGATTATTTGATCATTTGAAAGTCTAATGTGCAAGTAAAGGTGAGAAAAGCGCACTGTTGAAAATAAAAGAGGAATTTGTTAGGTTCCAGCGACACTAAACAACGTATTAGGAGCCAATGTAATTTTAGAACGAATTGATTTACATAGAGACAATTTAAGTTGTATAAAAGGTACTATATTAAAACGTGAGACAAACTTACCACTTAAAGCCAGTTGCTGAAATCAAATGCTCCACTAGGGGGAGTACTCCCCAAAATACTTCGAACAGTCTGCTCCGGTATGCTTTCGCCTTCTCCACCTTTTACCAACAAAGAATGCGTTCCGGAAGTGAACTGCATTTAGCATTTTACAATACCTTCATCCCGCTGACAAATCGAACATTTGTCAGAATTATGTACATTCGGCTTAATACGGAAATTAAGGGGGCAAATCACTCACTTTTATCTCCACAATCCTTCCCTGATCTTCAGGTTTCAGCTAGCCAAAATCACTTGTACCATTTGCTTAAAAGATTTTAAATTCCTTGAAAAACAACAGCAATCATACTAAAGGCTCATTTATCCATAGAATACATGGGGCTAAACAAGAGCCTCCAGCCTTAACGAGTCCATTGTAATAGCGCTTTTACAGAATGGATGACTTGGATGATTGCTTTTCACACATTTGGCTTGATATTTACGGTTAGAATCCATTTTGGGCAAGGAGTAGATAATCACTACACCAAGGCGAATTTTAAATTGCCGCCTCTGACTTTCGAATCTATTAGCCGATTCGAAAGAACTAATTATAATTCGTAACCCATTTGCTTATCGTTTTCAAATAGAAATTCTGCAAGTTTTAGGGCAAAAATGGGATTTAAAAGGTTTTTTAAGTAATTTGATACTACACGCATAATATTTTAATGCAGAACTTCATAAACGATATGTCCAACCAATATATTAACAACTTCACTGCAAATCTTAAAACCTCTAATCTTTATAGCACTTTAGCATTATCGTATAGTAAGAAATGACTGAATTATTTTCTAGTACAAACATTTGGGTCTATTTTGCACGTTACTAATTTAGAGCCCTTTCATTGTGGTAAATTAATAAACGCTTTTCATGCTTGACCTACTGTAACTTACGGGGCATTTAGTTAAGACATTTTTTACGGTTAGGGCATGATGGTACACGCTTACGACTTCTTGCAGTTGCGTCTTTTGTTAAAATTTGATGGTATTTGAGGGGTTTCAGTTAGTACCGCTGGTAGGCACGCCCTCTTCATTGACGGAGCGCAGTTTCTGTCCTCTCTTCTGCTTTCTTGTCGTGTTTTTGTAACTTAGGCTTTTGACAGACCGAGTTAGACAATGTCGGGTCGTGGTAAGGGTGGAAAAGGGCTCGGAAAGGGAGGAGCCAAGCGTCACAGGAAGGTGTTGCGTGACAACATTCAGGACATCACAAAGTCCACCATCCGACGTCTGTCACGTCGAGGTGGCATGAAACGCATCTCTGGGCTCATCTAAGAGGAGACAAGAGGTGTGCCCAAAGTCTTCCTGGAGAACGGCATCCGTTACGCCTTCACGTACACTGAGCACGCGAAGCGTAAGACTGTCACTGCCATGAACGTGGTGTATGCTCTTAAACGCCAGGGTCGTACCCCCTACGGCTTTGGCGGTTAGGCTGCATCGTGACCGATGGGTAGATAGATGGCGAGATTGTGGCGGATGTTGTGTGAACGCTCCAACGGCCTTGTTTAGGGCCACTTTCAATACTACACTGCAGATTGTATTCATCATTACTCGTTGCTGAGGTAGGGTTGGGAGTTAACACTACGCTAGTGTCTGTCTTTTTGGGTTTCAGATGCGTAGGTGGGTGGGTGGATGGATGGAGGGGTAGTGTTGGGCATTTGTCTGCTGACTTCCGGCGGTCCCTTGCTGTTCTGCTCTCCTCGTCACTTCAGTGGATGCTTTTGCCCACTATGCGTATCCGTAGCCCATTGGGTGCAAGTCAGTGTGCCGACGTTTGTGATGATGGTAGAAAGTGAGGAGAGCGGTAACAAAGGAGGGGAGAATGGGCAATTGTCTAATCGAGTTGAAGGTGATCTGTCGTTCACTTGCGAGGCGGATGGCGCATTTGGCGTAGGTGGTGACGTGCTTAGCATTGGCCGCTGGTGTGCTTGATGGTAATGGTGGAAGCCGGTGAGGTGCCAGCAGATAAACAGAGGTAGATGAAAGCCTGACTTTGTATTCTGGTAGGGTTCATGCGTTTGCACACATAATTGAGCGGTGAAACAGCGGCAGGTGGTTCATTTGTTGCCTACTGAAAAAAGTTTGCGTGTGTTGAATGTCAATGGCGTCCCAAAGAGATGAAGAACGCAGATATTTTGCTCTCTTCGTCACCCCTACAGTACGCTGCGGCAGAATAAGACAATTTGCGTTATGCTGAACTAAGCAAACTGGAGCAGTTCAAACGACTCAGCACTAATCCAGGCATTCCGATGACAAGCAGGACTATATTTGCGCATAGGCACAAATCATAGGCGATGGAATATCAACTGGTAGCTATCAAGGAAAGTGATTCCATCACAGCTAGTTGTCTAAGTAGGTAAA